AAACATAGTAGAACCAACACTCAATCTTATGAAACATAGTAGAACCCGGTCAATACAACCCCGGTAGAACTAGGTCAAACATAGTAGAACGAACGGTCAAACCGTGGTAGAATCCAGTCGAACTAGGTCAATCATGCATGTTTGACCAGGGGTCAAACTGTTTAATGTATGAAAATGCTTCTGAATATATAGTGAACCTGAATTGTAAATTTCATTATTGTTTACTTAATATATCGATATAATATGAATAATTATACTTGTGTTTGACATGTTTACATTTTTTGATCACATCTTGTAAAGAATATTAAATTATTAAACATAGTCAAACTAATTGTTAAACTTGACAAAAATGTTAGAACACGATCAAACCCTGTCAAACTTAGTCAACCGTGGTCAAAACGTATCAAACATGGCCAACTAAGAAGCAGTCGAACCTAAATCAAAACCTATCAGAATGTTCAAACATGGTCAAACTTGGTCAAACCCAGTCAACCATGGTAGAACCTATCAAATATGCCCATCCAAGGCGCACAATTGCACGTTCGTCATATATTAATTTCAAAAAATCAGGTTAACTTACTCTAACTTACTTGGAAGGGAGAATGTCGACAATGGAGATGCTAAAGAAGAAGGTGCTGGTGATTGGTGAGCTACGTTGAACTCAAAGAGGAAGGTTTGAACGTGTTCCAATGAAGTTCAAACTTCAAAGCATAGCTTGTTCGAACGCTTCATGGAGGAGAATATACGCTAGGAGAAGGGCATCCATCGGAAGAGAAGAAAAAGTTTGATTTGTGAAGGATGCCCCTAATAATAATAAACCTTATGAGGTCACTTTGATAAAAAATCTCTTTTAGGGGCATTTTAAAAATTTGTCCTGTAAACATGATATTGTTTGCATATATAAAGTTTTACAAAAATATAAAATTTTAATAGCAAAACGTTTTCCGACCTACAATTTTTGTTCAATTGATTCAAATAGTAAAATTAATATCTCATTGTTAAATTACTTTTCTATAGCTTTAACTGTTTATTTTGAAAATAGGTTTGAAATAACAACAAAATTAAACACTAAATGATATTTTGTTCATTCTACATCATATTCTACACATTTCTCTATTTAGAAACAATCACAAAAATGTATATATATATCATTATAATACTAGTTCAATTTTATAATTATCGTAAAATCAAACATTCGATCATGAGGGAAAAGATTTTTAACTATTACTTTAATGGTATTCTACCCATTCTTTAGTGATATTCTACCCATTCTACACAATCTTCTATCCATTCTACACTCATTCTACTTACTGTTGGAAAATGTGTTAGTAAATTGCATTAAATGGTCATTTTGGGGAATTTTTTTGAGTGGGGTCCACTTCCGATTTGGGTTGGGTCTAATTGGTTTTGGATTGTCCTTGCTAAGGGCTACAATTCGATACGTGGTACACTCAAAACGGATAACGGGTGAATGAGATATCGATTTTCGAAGTTTACCCGTTGAAATGGAGCAGCAGCTGGCTGCTCCAGCAGCCCACTGCCGGCAGGACAGTCCGCAGCAGCCGGCTGCTCCAGCAGCCCACTGCCGGCAGGACAGTCCGCAGCCGCCTGCTGCCGGCAGGACAGTCCGCAGCAGCCTACTGCTGGGACGTCCGCAACAGCCTACGTTTGTGAGTGGTGTATCGTTGTAAATCACGTGCTAGCTACTTATAGGAAGGATTTGGAGGTGTGTTAATGGATGTTTAATGGACATGAACATTGGACGTTAATGGCCTTAATGATGTAACGTCCTGGCAGCAGCAGCCTGCCAACGGGACTGCACCTGGAGCAGCAGCCTCGTGCCAACGGGGCTGCACCGGGAGCAGCAGCCTCCTGCCGTAGTAGCATTCCAACGAGTGACTTCGAGAATAAATTTCTCGTTCACCCGTTATCCGTTTTGAGTGTACCATATATCGAATTGTAGCCCTAAGTAAGAACAATCCGGAACCATTTTGACCCGATCCAAATCATAAGTGGACCCCGCTCAAAAAAATGCCCCAACATGTGACCATTTCATACAATTTATTAACGCATTTTCCAACAAGAAATTTGTAGAATAGGATGTAGAATGAGCATAATAGCATTTGGTGTTTAATTTTTTTATTGTTATTTCAGACCTATTTTTAAAAGAAATAGTTGAAGCTATAAAAAATAATTTAACAATGAGATCTTAATTTTACTACGGAGTATTTGAAACAATTTAAAAAAAATTGTAGGTCAGAAAACCATTTGCTATTAAAAATTTATAATTTTTTAAACTTTAAATATGCAATGTAGAAATCATACTCCGTATGAAAGATCATAAAAAATAATGAATTTTGATATACTTTTCGTATAAGTAGGAGTACAAATAGAAAATACAAAATTGTAACGGAAAATGAGATTTTGCTTTTTCTTTCCTTTTGCGTAGCAAGCTGCTGCCCCAATTCAATGAATGCAACAAACATTGAACTCCCAACACTTCCCCCTTTTTCAACCCCTTAAAAACGTACGAGATGGTTTATTATCGAATAGATGAGTATAATGAATTAAAACACTACTTTTAACTTCATATACTTAACATTGGTGTCATAATGAAAATCATAAAAAAATTATGAATTTTAATATATCTCAAATAAAAATTAGATTACAAATAAAACATTATGTCATTTTAAAAGCAATGAGAGTTTCTTTTTTGGCGAGCAGTTTCCTCATTTTGGTGATCAGCAACCTACTAAGCTGCTAGAGGCAACAACATTTTGTGTGAAAGGAATAAAAAGGGTAGGGCAGACAAAACATAATAATTTTTGTCAAGTATTATAGTTTTTTTATTTGTAGTTCAATTTTTTCAAACAACATATCAAAATTCACATTTTTTTTTTATAAATCATATGATAGCAATATTATATATATATATATATATATATATATATATATATATATATATATATATATATATAGAGTTTTAACAACATTTCAACTTTCAATTGTACGAGCTTCTTAGACGCAATTGTTTTTAAATAAATTCAAGTGTTAAAATTAAAATCTCATTAAGAAATAAAAGTGACAAGAAATGAGTTGTAGATGTAGAACTTTAATTTGTTAAACTTCAAATATAAGTCTCTACCCCCACTTCACTCTCCACTAACCATTCAACCCTCTACACATTCAACCCATTCAACCCTCTACACATTCAACCCATTCAACCCTCTACACAATCAACCATTCAACCCTCTACACATTCAACCATTCAACCCTCTACACATTCTACACATTCAACCTTCTACATTAACTCATTCAACCATGTACAAATTCTACCCATTCAACCATGTACAAAAACTAAAAAAATAAAATTTTAATTGTTAAATGTTTTTAAACCCAAAACTTTTCTTAAATAATTCAAGAGGTAAAAATAAGTTCTTATGATTACTTTTTTAAAATCTTTCCGTTATTGATTTTAAAAAATAGGTATGAATTAACAGCAATAAAAATTAAACTCAGAATTTTAAGAAAAGAAATAAGAAAAGAGAAAAATACCTAGAACAAATTTTAGGTAATTTTATTATGCGTCTTCATCATGGTTCTTCATCATTGTTCAAGTTTTTTTTTCGGTATGAAGAGAACGCAGAAATCAAAGAAGACGAGAATCCAAATAAACTTATTATTTCCTCCCAAAAATAAAAAAATTCATCTCATTTACACAAAATCCACTAAAACTGTTCTCGAAATGTTAAAAAAAAAGATGATAGAAGAATCTGGAATTTCATATTCAGATCTATTCCGGATGGGAGCTTGGAGCAACCGACTGGAGCCATCCACGTCCAGCTGTGTGTCATGGACTTAAGCTTGCTGTCCACTGAAACTCCCTACACCATCTCCAGATCTCGCCGCCGCAGAGCTGCCGTCGTGAGTTGAGTTTGTCGTGCTCCAGGTACGGAAGTTGCGGCCATTAATGGTCGCCTTAGAGCTCGTGAGAGAGACAAACGAGTCAGAGTATGTGCCTTACTACTTCTGTTGCAGCACCTACTGCCTTGCTCTTGGTCACCCTCACGTATCAACGAACTGTTATAATAGCTCGACGGTCTTTGTCCGCCATTAACGGCTGCCAGAGAGCTCTCCACTCACGACACAGGCGGCAGCCACATCGAGGGTTTCTTCTCCCTCAGTCACAAAAAACACCTTACCAAAATCAAACTGGATTTAATCCCCTCTTCGTCGGCACTAGACGACGGCCATCAGATGGGAAGGGACGACACGATGATGATGTAGCGCAGGTCAAAACCCAACGGAGTAAAATTGATTTTCAAGCCATCCACCATAGACAAAGACAGGAAATTGTAACCCAAAAAAGAATTAAATTCTACTACATAAATATTTGAATTTGAAGTAGAATGCTCTTCAATGGAGAAAAGTTGCAGGGAAATGAAAGAGAAGGAAAGAAAGAGAAAGAAAGAAAGAGAAAGTGGAAGAAAGTTGACTTGACATAAAAGAAAAAATAAGCTAAAATGAAAAATGTATAAATTGCTAAGATGACCCTGGATTTAAATGTAAATGCCAATGTAGAAAACAAAAGAATGACATGGTTAATGGGTACAAATGGAGCAATATTAGTGGTACACCTCACGGGGTACACCGGTGTAGGGTTTTTATAACCCACACCGAATGAATCGCCGTTTTCCTTAGGTTTGCACCTGGATATAAGGGTTATCGTTGTTTTGATCCTAAAACTCGGTGAGTTTACATTAGTCGTCATGTCCGTTTTCATGAAATATTTATCCCTTTCGATCCGCTACGTTTTCCTCTAGTTCTGCCACTCCACCTCCACAAACCTCCTCTCCTCTAGATGCTCCATTCTGTGGCTTAAATTCATCACTTCCACCATCCAGCAATATAACTTCCCCATGGTCCATACCTACGCCCCAGGTCATTCCTATTTCATCCACTACCAGCAACCTACGGTCTAGCTCTATGTCCAGTCCACCATTACCCACAGTCACAAGCCCGAGTCCCAATCTACCTTCGTCCTCTGTCTCCACCGAACTCAGTTCGGTTTCTAGGCAAACCCAGGCCCCACCTTCCCTTTTGTCCCCAGTCACAAGCCATGCCCGTCAGTCCACTCCACCTGTCTCTTCCAGTCTTCCTTCGAAGCACCAGTCTCGGCCAGTGTCCCAGTGCGTGTCCCAGGGTCCGTTCAGGTTGGCAATACTCATTCCATGCAGACACGCTCCAAATCCGGGATTTTTAAACCAAAAACTATTTTTTCTTTACACACTGATGTTATCGGTACTGACCCATCTTGTTTTTCTGAGGCAAATAAAAATTTAAAATGGAGAGAGGCTATGGCAGAGGAGTTTAATGCACTTATCACTAACCGTACATGGGATCTTGTTCCTTTTGACAACTCTAAGAATATTGTCGGGTGTAAGTGGATTTACAAAACAAAATATCATTCGGATGGCACTGTTGAGCGGCATAAAGCCAGATTAGTTGCTCAAGGATTTAATCAGCATGCTGGTATAGATTTCTCTGAAACCTTTAGTCCTGTTATTAAACCTACCACTGTGCGCATTGTTCTTACTTTGGCCATTTCCTTTGGTTGGGTGGTTCGTCAAATTGATGTCAAAAATGCATTTTTACACGGCCACCTTACGAAGAGGTATATATGCGTCAGCCCCGTGGCTTTCTTCACCCTCAGTTTCCTAATCATGTGTCGCTTGCGTAAGGCTATTTATGGTCTTAAACAAGCACCACGGGCCTGGTTTCATCGGTTCAATAGTTTTCTTCTTCAGCATCATTTTATTAGCAGCAAGTCTGATAAATCTCTATTTATTTATCGCCATAATAATTCTATCATTTATTTATTATTATATGTAGATGATATTATTATTACTAGTAATTCAGAGGCTGATGTTAATCATTTTATTTCTCTTATCTCTCATCAATTTGCCATGAAAGACTTGGGAAATCTGATCTTCACTATTTTCTGGGTATAGAGGCTACTCGCACCTCTACAGGTTTATTTATCTCTCAGCAAAAATATGTCACTGACTTGCTTGCTCGCTTTCATTTACACACTGTCAAGTCTGTTCGTACTCCCTTAGCATCTCGTACTACACTCACCCTCACTGATGGCGAGTTACTCACAGACTCCACAGAGTATCGCAGCATGGTAGGTGCGTTACAATATTTAACTTTGACACGGCCAGATATTACTTTTGCAGTACACCTAGTGTCTCAGTTTATGCATGCACCTCGCACTACTCATTTGCTTGCAGTCAAGCGTATTTTCAGATATTTGCAGGGCACTCGTGATCATGGTCTATGGCTCCAAGCTTCTACTACCCCTACTTGTGTGAGAGCATACTCCGATGCTGATTGGGTGGGATGTCCAGATAGCTCGCGTTCTACTACTGGTTTTGCTATTTTTCTAGGTCCCAATCTGGTCTCTTGGAAATCCAAGAAGCAACCGACAATGTCCAAATCCTCCACTGAGGCCGAATACAGAGCTGTTGCCTATACTGTTCAGGACACACTTCACATTCGGTCGATACTGTTTGAGCTTGGATTTCCCATCACGGAGCCTGTCAGCTTACTGTGCGATAATATCTCAGCTTCATGCTTAACTGCTAATCCTATCCAACATGCCCGTAGCAAGCACATTCAGATTGACTATCACTTTGTTCGCGAGAGAATTGCTCATGGCGATTTATCTGTCCAGTACATATGTTCCTACTCATCTACAACTGGCAGATATTTTTACTAAAAGTCTTCCTAGTCAGCGTTTTCATTTTTAAAAAGACAACCTGCGAGTTGTATCTCCCACACAGTTTGAGGGGGTGTAATAGACTAGGGATATTTATGTACTTTAAACATTACTCTCTTATTATAAATACACCTGTCAGGGCTCCTTAGCGGGTAACCTGTTCCATTATCTCACACATTGTGTTCAATAATATAATAAATATATAATCAATATGGTTAAGAGTTAAGACTTCAACCGTGCATCCATTGTACATTTGGAAAACTAAACATCAAAATGTTATTTTGGTATATATAAATTATTTACGTAGTGTATTGAATGATACTGAAACATCATTACTAAAAAAGATAAAGGATCGCATCTAATACTCCGTGAATAAAACCTCCAGGCTCCAGCCATGCAAAGTAATTTTAGGACTATAGAAATGAGGGATAAAATAGTCTTTAAAGTCGTGATAAAATTTCTCAGAAAAATAATTAAAAACTTATTCATTTGAAATACCCCAAAATTTCCAACAGTCTTGGGGTTGGGACTTTGTTAGATGCTCATTACCGATTAGGACATCCATCTCTCCCATTAATGAAGCAATTAAATCCCCAATTTAATAAGATGACCTCTTTACAATGTGAGTCATGTCAATTTGCGAAACACCGTCGTACTAGTGATAAGAACAGAAAAGTAAAATCAACGGGGTGAACCGTTGCCCAGATAATCAACGATAAATTAATACCGTTGCCCAGAGCCAAAAGGCTAAACCAAACTTTTATTCCAAGATGATAAGAATGAACCTTGGCGAGGGGTATAAATAGCCTTCTACAAGCAACCCTAATCAAGCCCAAATTAATTAAATCCTAATTAGGCCCATACTACTCTACTAAGTACTCTACTAATAAAAGGCCCAAACCAAAACATAACATTAACTTAAAATAATAATAAATAATTATAAAGACAGCCCGTAACCGGCCCACGGAAGTGGGCCCAAGCCCGGTCCCGCCACAAGCTCTTCCCGCTTCATATCAACTAGCTTAAGCCCGCGAGTTAATAAACGAGCAAACGCTCCATTTGACCTTGTTCACTCTGATGTTTGGGGTGCTTGCCCGGTTGTGTCTAAAGCTGGTTTTAAATATTTTGTTACCTTTTTTGATGACTATTCTCGTATGACATGGCTGTATTTCATGAAACGTCGATCTGAGTTGTTCACCCATTTTTCTTCCTTTTGTGCTGAAATTAAAATTCAGTTTAGCGTTCCTGTTCGGGTGTTAAGAGGAGACAATGCCCAAGAATATCTATCTGCTACATTTAAGTCATTTATGCTTTAACATGGCATTATTCATCAAACTTCATGCGTTGACACACCTCCTCGAAATGGAGTTGCAGAACGAAAAACCGACATCTGTTAGAAACTGCAAGGGCTCTTCTATTCCAAATGAATGTGCCTAAACAGTTTTGGGCAGATGCCGCGTCTACTGCATGTTTTTTGATAAATCAAATGTCATCTTCTGTTTTGAATGGTAAAGCTCCTTATCATTGTCTATTTCCAAACAAAGAGCTTTTTCCTATCCCACCTAAAATATTTGGTTGCACTTGTTTTGTTAGAGATGTTAATCCTCATCTTACAAAGTTAGATCCCAAATCATTAAAATGTATTTTCTTGGGTTATTCTCGAGTCCAAAAGGGGTATAGATGTTTTTGTCCGAGTACTGATCGGTATCTTGTTTCTATTGATGCATCATTTCATGAAAATACACCTTTTTCATCATCTAAGGCAGATATTCATGAGAGTAATGATAATATACTCATTTACACGATGACTATTCCCGAGTCCACACTTTCGACAAATATTCCACAAGGTACTATTCCTGACCCTAGGCCTCCCATACATTTGGTATACACCCGTCGACACAAAGCACATGATCACCCTCCATCGTCGATACCTGTGATTACTTATCGTGATACTAGTTCGACTCCGATCTCATGTCCTGAACCAGTACCTGCATCTTCAGATCTTATCTCCACATCAGATCTTGACCTCCCAATAGCACTACGTAAAGGTACACGGTCTTGCACTCATCCTGTTTCTTCATTTGTGTCGTACAATCAGTTATCTCCTGCTTCATGTTCTTTTATTGCTTCCATTGATTCTATTTCTGTTCCCAAATCTGTCAAAGAAGCTTTGTCTCATCCTGAATGGCGTCATGCCATGGTAGAGGAAATGAATGCTTCAGATCTTAATGGTACTTGGGATTTGGTTGACTTGCCTACAGGGAAGAAATCTATTGGATGTAAGTGGGTCTTTGCTGTCAAGGTTAACCCAGATGGATCTGTTGCTCGGTTGAAAGCCCGATTAGTTGCGAAGGGTTATGCTCAGACCTATGGTGTTGATTATTTTGACACTTTTTCTCCTGTTGCTAAATTAACATCTGTCAGGTTACTTATTTCACTCGCTTAGGAGGAGTATGGTAAAGTTTGTCGACTTCGCAAATCTCTTTATGGTCTGAAACAGAGTCCTCGTGCATGGTTTGGGAAATTCAGTCAATCAATTGAACAATTTGGAATGATAAAAGACAAATCAGATCACTCTGTCTTTTACAAACAAACAGAATCAGGTGTCACATTGCTTGTGGTGTATGTTGATGATATTGTGATTACCGGGAGTGATAATGCAGGTATTTTGGCCCTTAAGAATTTTCTGCATAGTCAATTCCAGACGAAAGATCTTGGCTCTTTGAAATACTTTCTGGGAATTGAGGTAACACGGAGTAAGAAAGGCATATTTCTATCTCAACGTAAATATGTACTTGACTTACTAGCTGAGACAGGGAAACTAGGGGCAAAACCAAGTACAACACCCATGGTTCCCAACGTGCAACTCACTCAAGAAGGCACACCGTTTGAAGACCCAGAAAGATATAGAAGACTGGTTGGAAAGCTTAATTATCTCGCAGTCACTCGTCCAAATATTGCCTATCATGTGAGTGTAGTGAGTCAACACATGTCATCTCCAACCATTGATCACGGGTTGCAGTAGAACACATATTATGTTACTTAAAGGGTGCACCAGGACGAGGTATTGTTTATCAAAACCATGATCACATGAGAATAGAATGTTTTGCAGATGCTGATTGGGCCGGTTCTAAAGATGATCGAAGATCTACATCTGGTTATTGTGTCTTTGTTGGTGGTAATCTTGTATCTTGGAAGAGTAAGAAGCAGAATGTGGTTTCTTGTTCGAGTGCCAAATCAGAATATCGAGCTATGGCACAATCTGCATGTGAGATCATATGGATAAGCCATTTATTGACCGAGCTCGGACTGAAGACATCAATGCCTGCTAAATTGTGGTGTGATAACCAAGCTGCTATACACATAGCAAACAATCTTGTATTTCATGAGAGAACAAAGCATATTGAGGTCGATTGTCATTTTATTCGAGAGAAGATACACAAAGGATTGATCTCTACAGGATATGTGAAGATGGGCCGGGAACAACTTGGAGATTTGTTCACTAAAGCACTAAATAGAATTCGTGTTGGTTATTTATGTAACAAGTTGGGCATGATAAATATCTATGCTCCAACTTGAGGGGGAGTGTGAAAGTATATTAGAATATACTTTAGAATATGCTTTAGAATATATTAGGAATATACCATATATAATATTATTGTATAACATCTTTTATAAGAATATTCTATCTTTGTAATCTATATTTATAGGGCTTTACCCTTCAATGAAATACACAAAAAATCCTTCTCTCCATCTTTAATATCATTCTAGTTTATATTTCAACATTTAACAATGAACTAGGTATATAAAATGACTCTACGTTAATGCAGTCCACTGATCAGTATGAAGGTTGTTTGAGAATTGTGTTTGGATAGGTTTTAGGATGAGTGTGGTTTGTGACGGTGTGGATACCGAAAGTAAAGATGACACATGGTATATCCTGGTTTAGAGGTAGTGTAATCCTCCTACATTCAGTTTCACCCTCGAGCTAATGAAATTCACTAAGCAAATATACTCATTACATTTAGTGTCCAATCTACCCTTGATCACAAGTATAGATTGTGAGGTTTTTCACGAGGAGTTTAAATACCACTCCAAAGTACCCAATCTTATAGGTGTTTCACTAATAGCATTGACTTGCTAAGAGCTACTCAGTCCTATCCTCTACAAGGTTTTTCACTAATATGATTGACTTGCTAAGAGGTACTAATGTTCTTCTTCTTGGGTTTGATCATGAAGCCTTCTGTATGTTACAACCAATTTAGTTTTACAAAGAAAATCTAAAAATCTAAAAATTCAATTAATCAAAGCTCTAAAGATATATTTGTGAGTAAAGTCTAAGAGCTTAGTAAAGTGGGGTGAGCTAAGAAGACGAGTGATAGAGCACTTACTCCTTTGCTAGATGTGTCGTATATGCTCGTATGTTCCTCTTAGCTACACACTTAACTCACCATACTTCTTTTGTATTTATAGACTTCAGTTGTTATATATCTCCCTTTGACCAAGGAGATTCAGCCTTGAGCATTGGTTGGTCTACTTGGTGACTGAAGTAGCATGATTGTTTTTGTCTTCTTATGTCATGGGTTGTGACTTCTTTGTTTGTATTTACTGTCTCAATTATCTTCCAAGTCAAATAGATAATATTTGATATACTCAAATGTATATGTGCCGTGTAAATAACATCTCAAAAATATCTTTGGGAAATAATTAGAGACACAACTTTCAGCCATCCATTACCCATATATACGAGTTGTTATAACGTGGGAGCAACCCACCGTGAGCATGGTGCTCCCAGAGACAAATTCGCGTGTTACTGTTCACGCGCGCGTGAACAGTAACTTTTTTTTTTTTTTTTCCTTGTCCCAGCAATTGGTTGATGTAACTCGCGTGTAAAGAAATGTAACTCACGTTGACAACAAATGTAACTGAAGACAAATTAAAATGTAACTTATGTAATGCGGAGTATAAGAAATAAAACAATGATTTCAATGTAAACAATGAAAACATGGAGTCTAATTGTTGAATTACTTTCCGTAAATAGTAGACATTTTTTTGTTTTTAATATTAAGGCCATAAAAATATTTTTTTTAATATTATTTTTTTTTGCCAAAAAATACATTTTCTTTGCAAAAAAGATGAAATTTTGTTTCAATAGTTGGAGTTTATTCTGGTATGTAACTAGTGTTATGAAAAATGTAATTTAATTAGATGTAATTAGTTAAAGATAAAGATAAGTAAAAATCACAAATAATTAGATGTAACTCATGCATAATTTGATGTAACTCGCGCATAAAAGTATGTAACTCGCGCATAAAAAGATGTAACCGACGCATAACAAGATGTAACTCGCGCATTATAACATGTAACTTGGGCATAAGAAGATTTAACTTCGTAAAAAAAAAGATTTAACTTCGTATATTATCAAATGTAACTCCATAAATAAAAATAAACACATTCAATGTCTTAAAAGCCTCTAAAGACATATAAAAGCGATAAAAAGTGTATCCATATAAAAGTTTATTACACAAAAAAATGAATATAAAAAGATATTACAAAACATAATAAATTTTTGGTTGTGATTTTAGTTGAAGAAAAAAAGAAAAAAGTGCAGGAATAAGGATTAAGACAGAAAGAAAAGTAATTAATGTGTTTTGAAAGGATAAAAATTTAATCACAAAATTGAAATAAAGTACATACATTTGGCCAGTGTTCCTTAATTAAAAAAAATCATTTGGAAATTGATTTTGATAATGAAAAAATAAAAGTAAAAAAACAAAAAAGTAAAAAAGAAAGAGGGTGGGGAGTCCACTAGAGAAATAGAATCGAGAGAGCAAATTAAAAAAGGAAAAAGAATAAAAAGTAACGAGGGTGGGGGAGACGGCCAGTGGCCTGATTAGTGGAGCTGCAAATAAAGAGTGAGCTTGTGACCGACTTTTTGTTTTCAAAACGATACCGTATTTGGGATCGGTGTACCATGCACATATATACTTACTTCGTACATGGGTCCCCTTGTCTTTTCCTCACAATTTACATCTACGTACCATACAATTTACTTGTGCGTCCAATGGTCACACGTTGCATATTTTGACTTGGCTGCAAAAAATGGAAGTCGTAGCGATAGTTATGACGGTCTATGGTGCACCGATACTTCACCAAATGTTGTATCCGCGTATCCGATACGTATTTGATATCGAGTCTCACCGATACACGTCATGTATGTATTGGGTCCGTATCCGTAATTTAATAAAAGTATTGGGCTTATTTTTTAAAAATACCGATACTTCTAATTCCCGTATCCGTGAACCGATACGCGTATCTGATCCTATATCTCTTATTTCATACACGACATGACGAAAATTTAGTAGCCGTCCAAGCGACCACAAGATGTGGAGCATTGATAAAGATGATATAGTATGGAAAATATTGGAATACTATAATTTGTCATTTTATCACTTGATGAGCTTTAAGACTTAGAAGTAAATGCAAATAGAGAATCAAAAATATTATTTGAATTTAAATAAAAAATCAATAATTTAGTTTTTTTAGCCTAATCTTTGAAATTTTATTATAGTAGTTAATTTTCTGTACTATTATTATTTTATTTATGAATCGCTAAATTATACGTAGTATATATTTGCAAATTATACCCTATATTTTTATTATTTATAAATATACCTCTGTACCCGTATCCTATAATTTTTGAAATTGCCATATCGCCGTATTCGCGTATCGGTGCATCCGTATCTGTGCAACATAGATGACCGTCAACTTTGCCTCTTACAACGGTCTCAAATTTGGTTTCTTTTGAGAGTTGTAGTTGACAAGAGGCTTGGGGCAGTTTATCAGCAACCTGCTGTTGCGGTGTGAGTGGGCATGCTAACAACAGCCTGTTGTTGAATTGACAGCAGTCTGCTGCTAAGTGTAAATTACCAGTTGACTCTTTTTGTGCGTACCCTTCTTTTACATTTCTTTACTTTTGGTACGTCTTTCTCATTTCTTCTCTTCTCTTTTTAGTACCATTCCTTTTTATCTTTTTCATTCTTTTGAGTACTTTTCTTTTGATAAATTGAATGCAGCAAAAATTACAAAACATTACAAGCCAAGTGCTCAAAGTCAAATACAAACGTATCATCAAAATCTAAAGGACCTAACAATCTTCCCTTTTTTGATGATGTCAAAACTATAACAAAAGAATGAAAATATTTAAATAGCTAATTATTTTTGGGAACCTGAATCTTGATCTTTCCAATTCTCTGGTTTCCACCAGTCATCGTGTAATGGTGGCTGATATTTTGGCCTTGAAGCCTGTTGTTGGGGACTAGGAGGTTGATGTTGTTGTGATGGCCTTCGAGGCTGCTGCTGTTGAACGTTGTGTTGTTGTTTTTCCCTTACTCTTGAAGTTCTCTTTCAAGGAGAGCATACTCTTGTTTTCACAAAGTCTCCTGTAACTATGCAATCCCTCCATTTGGGAGCTAGTTCTCCTAGTTGATAGCGTGTGGGTGCATCCCTCAGCGGTCCTACTATCACTTTGTTGAGTCTCTAAATCATATTTCTTCAGGTGATCTGCCATCATAGAATATGGTGTTGCCCTCTACATCTATTTCATCTATGAATGGTTGTAATGACATGGGAACCTTGGGATTTCTCACTCATACTCCGATTTCTTCATCGTCTAGTTCCTCATAGTTAGGAGGAAGGCCTGAAGTGATGTATCCTCCTACTGGATGTGAGCCAAATGTTGCTAGTGATCTTCTATAGGAGCCTTCTACCACCCCACTCCTCTGCAACACAATAGCAAACGAGTAAATGATCAAATGAGGTACTGTTCTTCTACCGAAATATCAATATGAAAGCAGAGAAGAAGAGTAGATAGAGCTACGATTCTACGAATGAGGTCTACCTCCAACAGGATTCAGTGGGATTCAGCGGGCCGCGTCCAACAGATGGGGGACGGCGGGATTCGGTAGGCTAGGGTGGGTGCCTGTGTGAGAAGAAGAGAGGAAGTTGAGGAATGACACAATGACACCTGATAGTGTGGACAGCCCATGGGGAGTGGGGTTTAGTTTTATTTAGGGATGTTTTGGCCTTTCCGGATTTAAGAGGTCACTTTTTTGTCCATCACAAAGCTATAAGTAATATTTCTGCTTTTTTTGGTCTTCTGTTACTACTTTTATTTATATGTGCATTTTATCTCATTTGTAGTCATTTCACATATTTTATTCCACTAAATACTTTGAAGAGTATGATTTACAATTTTTTTACAATAAGTAAAGTTCCACCCCTGGCCATAAAAACATAAGACTGGCCATGCGTCATATTTACAATTCAGCAAATGCTTGCGCTTTTTATTAGATGTACACACAGAGGAGGAGGAAGCTCGATGGATAAGTGGCTTCTCAATCTAAATTCTTCTTCTTCCTGTTCTTGTATCACGAGGGAAGAGGGGTCATACAGTGGGGGCAGCCGGCCTATAAACAAGGAGGTTGGGAAGGTGGGCAGACTGGAGTTTCTTCATGTCTTTTGCAGTGACTTTGAAGCACGACTCCAATGTCAGTGATTTCAGTTTCTTGAGTGTCTTCAGGTGATCCAACCCGGCACTTGTTACCCGCGAATTTGATACGTTCAGAGACACGAGACACGTCAGCCCTGCATGAACCAACCAACTTTACTGGCCACCTATATCCATAAGCAAGGACATGAATGTACATACCCGAAATTGCTTCCAGGCTTTTGTCAGTGAGGTGACTGTTCTGTGAAAGATTGAGCAGAGTGAGGGCCGTCAGATCTTTTATGTTTTTCACCCCTGTATCCGTTAACCCCCCGCCACAAACTTCCAGCCCCCTCAAGCTTTTCAAATCTACAAAACACTAGTAGTAAGTATCTGTGCAAGTAATATAAGTACAATGTGCAGATAAAAATATATCCATAAATAAAACAGTGGGCATACGCTTTAAATAGTGCGTCCCTGCATCAGTAATACGAGCTCCAAACAGATCCAAATGAGTTAAACCAGTTAGACCTGCAACTTTCAAGGCAGTTATCCATCCAAGTCATGGTAATTGGTAAAAATATATGGTAAACCATGTTCTTTTCTTTATTTACATTTATAGATATATGTCCCTTCATAGGGTGACTTAGTTATAGTTTTTTTCTTCTTCTTTATACTAATACTAATATAATACAATAATACAATTATGGGTCATTCTGAAACAGTCTCTCTGTGCTTTAGTATAGGGGTAAGACTGCGTACATCCGACCCCCCTTACCCCACCGTAGGTGGGAGCCTTTGCGGCACTGGGGTAAATGATGAATGATTTATACTAATACAAGCTCCAAACAGATCCAAATGTGTTAAACCAGTTAAACCTGCAACTTTCAAGGCAATTATCCATCCAAGTCATGTTCTTTTTTATTTACATTACACATAAATGTTCCTTTATATGGTGACTTATTTATAGGGCTGATTTATTTTTGAGCGTCTGAGTTCCACTATTGCATTGTGAAGATTTTCGGCATCCGATCGGTACACTATTGCACGCTCGAAGTCCACTTTTTACAAAGAACAAAAACTTTGAATTATTTAGAGTCATTAGATCCTAAATCTAATGCTCCAGGCTTATTATTATTTTTCATGTAAAGGATTACTTGTATTTGATTTTAAATGTATACATATGTATATATATATATATATACTTCGTATATACATATATAGAAAAATGATCATGTACATATGGATGTACAAGATCCTCCGTACGGACAAAGCCATCAGAGGCCCTTTCCGGTTGATTTTTTTTTATGAAATTGTTTGAGCATGTTCTTCATCAAGTCTAATTTATTCATACCAAATTTCAGCTCAAAATTCAACTGGGAAGGCCGTCAAATAAATTATTAAAACATATGGCGCATTCTGCGCACATATATTGTGCAGTATAATTCAAGAATTTATTTGACTGCCTTACCGATCGAATTTTGAGCTGAAATTTGGTATGGATAAACTAGACTTGATTAAGAACATGCTCAAAAAATTCCACCGGGAAGGACCTCTGAATGCTTTGTCCGTACGAAGCTTCCTGTACATCCATATGTACAGGAACAGCCCTCATACACACACACACACACACACACAAATATTCCTGTCCGGCCAGGCCGAACAGGGGGTGGTCCGACCACCTCAATTTAAGGTGGTTCCCGGTGGTATTTTTTACTCAAATATTTTGTGTATGTTCCTGATCAAGTCTAGTTCATCCATACCAAATTTGAGCAAAAAATTCAATCGGGAAGGCCGTCAAATGATTTTTGATCAAGTCTAGTTCAGCCATACCCTTTGTGCTGCACATTTTGATTACATATAATGCACATTTCAATTTTACGTAATGCACATTCAATTTCACATAATACAATCTAACAGTCCAGATCGATTCTCATTTTTCTCCTAAGATGATTTTCTCATTTGAATCGAATTATAGATGTGTGTGTATGTACACACACACACTTTCTTTTTATCAGTGGAATATTTCAAATTCACCCTTTCCAAACAGGCTCCAAAAGTCAAGATTTGATAATATATTCTGACAAACACAGTGAACAGAAAAAGCCGATTACATATTTACATATACTGGTCGAGCAGACCCTAAAACAATGTACCAGAACTATTAGATAAGACCCCCCCCCCCCCCCCCCCCCGCCCCTCCAAATCTAAATATGCTTACTTGTAAGAGCAGAAAGGCCAATGTCAGTGATCTGGCGGGCATCCAAGTTCAGGGATCTAAGTGACGATAGACCCCTTAATTTTCTCAATCCACCATCTGTTATCGCAGTGAACGATAGGTTCAAGCTCTCCAAACGTCTTAAGCCTGCATATGCATTAAGCTTGTGTGAGCAACTCTAAGGGTGCATGATCACGCGTAATTAGCACATAATTTTATACTTGATCAAATGAAACTAGTTTTTCATGCAATTTTTTAAAAGAGCCGTGAGTAAGTTAAGATGTTGCTTCTCACTGAAAGGCGAGAATTCAAGTCTGGGGAGGGGTCTCTAGTAAAAATTATAAGGGAAGACATGCCCTTATACACCCTTATTGTGAGGCCCTTCCCTCAACCCTCACCTTGAAGGGATGCCAATCTGCGATGGGCTACCCTCCTTTTGAAATAATTACATATTTATGACAAAAATAAAGATTGTTTACAAAAATGTGACTAGTGACTAAAGTAGTAATGGAAGCATAATAACTTATGTTCAATTTTTAAACTTAAATTACCATGACACTACATTGTAGTAACTATTAGTGACATTTGTGTAATTAAGTTTTATTTAGTAATATTTTTGAAAAAAACCCTACTAGTCGATGATTTAATAAGGAGGAAAGGGAAAAGTACAGAAAAGGTGTGATTGGAAGCGTTTTCAAATAAGTAAGGGTATGTGCTTCATTTTTTCCCAAAGTATTCTCATGTTTTAGATCGGTTATCACTCATTGGGTCAGAAGCCAAACTCCGTTAGAAACAACTCAAGTGGCAATTATTGTAAAAACCTGACCCCTTACGTGACCATAAGACCAATCCAACAAGAGTCTGGTCAAAATTTTTGTCATTCCCCATTTCCCCATCACCGGGCGGTAAGAACATGAGGAAGATGATGGGTAGTAACTCAAATTTTAAGAAGTGCCCAAAAAGCTGAAAGAATAAGAGTGGAAGGTGCGTGCGCGTGGTCAAGGCGACCTCCAAACCACCTCTGTCGCGGGAAAGTCCACCAGAAAGCACCTAGATGTGCAGAAAATGGACAGTACCACCAAGGATTAGTTCAAAAGACGGATTCAATAGTGTTTTCAGTAACTCAAAATGGATGTGCATGTTCTACTCAAGGTGGCGATGCCCAGTCCATAGGTAATTTGCAGATACAATCGTCGGAAATTGAGTTATGGGTCAAAATCAGTCCAGTGATGAACAGTGATTTCTGTTATCCAAAATGAACTGGAAAATCCAAATATCACAAATCCAATAGTGGATATTGCAAGCGTGAAGAGATCCACCCTAAAATCTGGATGAAAGTCATTTTATTCGTGTGGATTTACCTGAAAAGGTCATTGTTCACCGTCTTCCTCCTCAGAGTTCCCTGGCAGGAGAAATCATCACTGTCCTGCGCCAGACATTCCTTGGATGTACCCGTAGGTTTTTATTGGTCACATGAGAGGCCAATTATTTTAAAAAAGGGAAAACTGTCAAATAGGTCCTCGAACTTTCATAAAAATGTCAATTAAGTCCTTCTATAGGAGGTTCTGTCCGGCCGTCGCGATTTGGTGCAGTTCCCGGTGGAATTTTTTGATGAAATTTTTTGAGCATCTTATTCACCAAGTCTAGTTTACTCATACCAAATTTCAGCTAAAAATTCAATTGGGAACACATTCAAATTAATTCTTGAAGATAACTACGCATTTTTGCGTTCTCGAATTAATTTGAATGCGCTCCCGATTAAATTTTTAGCTGAAATTTGGTATGAGTAAACTAGACTTGGTGAATAAGATGCTCAAAAAATTTCATCAAAAAATTCCACCGAGAACCGTCCCAAATCGCGATGACCGGACAGAGTCTCCTATAGAAGGACTTAATTGACTTTTTTTATGAAAGTTGGAGGACCTATTTGACAGTTTTCCCTTTAAAAAATGTCACCTTAATTGTTCTTTAACGCAGTTTGGCTTCGGACCCCACGGGCAATAACAGACTTAAAACACGAGGGAGATTTTGGGAATAAATGACAACACATGTCTCTATCTGAAAACGCTCCCAACCACAAGTATATTTTCCGTACTTTTCCCAAAAAGTAATGTTTCAAAAAGAAAAATTATACCCAAGGATAAAGTCATGTTTGATCCAATGAAGCCAATTCTTAGTGTCAATTTTAGAGAAGTCTTGATGAAAAAGTAAAAAAAAATCAAAGATGACCAATTTAGTCAAACTGTATAACATCAAACAAAGTGATATACGCAAATTATAACGGTTAAACCTGAGAGATGTTGAAGTCCGTTGTTTCCAACGTCAGTATCAGACAACTCTAAACACTTCAAACTTTGAAGTCCTGCCCTCCTCAGACAGCAAGATAAGGTTAATTTGACACACAGTATATTTTGTGATGACGAAATTTCATTAAGCTTTCATAAGTCTAGTAAAATTATAAATCGAAAATTAATATGAACTGAGTGACTTTAAACTAGATGTATGAAGCATATTCACTATTGAATGCAATATTACCAGCTAAGTAGGCCAGCCCTTCATCTCCAATTGCACATGAATCCAAGTTCAAGGTCAACAAATTTGGTAAACCTTGTTCAATTGAAAGACCAAGAATAATTTATATATATATATATACATATATATATATATATATATATATATATATATATATATCGCAACAATACCATTATATATATATAAACAAAAAAACAATACCAATATATGTGTGTGTGGGGGGGGAGGGTATATATACCGTTATACATTTATCATTATGCAGTACTTATCATTATTGGGAATATGATGGAATAAAGAAAAATGGCTCACTAAACAGTTTGCATTTCTTTCTTTTGAAAGAGCAGTCATTCCATGCAATCTTTGTGCAGTACAGGGGTAAGGCTGCGTACATCCAACCCCCCTTACCCCCACCGTAGGTGGGAGCCTTTGCGGCACTGGGGTAATGATGATGATGTAATATTTATCATTATCTACCTATGAAAATTTTAGTAAACTAGCATCTCAATAATATTGTTGGAATAATTTTTTACAACTTTTTGATTAATATTGCTTTGAATAAACTATCAAGGTTTGGTGAAATCTTGCTGTAAAATTTAATAAAAACTAATTTAAAATGTGAATGTGTACAATATATTATTCAAAATTCAAAACCAAACAGACTTACGGACAAACTTTGCGAATAATGAATATTATGTATAAATATATATATTATGAATATTTACAAAAGAAAGAAGCCTCAATCCCTGTTGAAATAGAGCATATTAACTAAGAAATAATATGGGAGAGGAAAGGATTTTATGTATATTTCATTGAAGGGTAAGGCCCTATAAATATAGATTACAAAGATAGAATATTCCTATAAAAGATGCTATACAATAATACTATATATGGTATATTCCTAATATATTCTAAAGTATATTCTAATATACTTTCACACTCCCCCTCAAGTTGGAGCATAGATATTTATCATGCTCAACTTGTTACATAAATAACCAACTCGAATTCCATTTAGTGCTTTAGTGAACAAATCTCCAAGTTGTTCCCCAGTCTTCACATATCCTGTAGAGATCAATCCTTTTTGTATCTTCTCTCGAATAAAATGACAATTGACCTCAATATGCTTTGTTCTCTCATGAAATACAAGATTGTTTGCTATGTGTATAGCAGCTTGGTTATCACACCACAATTTAGCAGGCATTGATGTCTTCAGTCCGAGCTCGGTCAATAAATGGCTTATCCATATGATCTCACATGCAAATTGTGCCATAGCTCGATATTCTGATTCGGCACTCGAACGAGAAACCACATTCTGCTTCTTACTCTTCCAAGATACAAGATTAGCACCAACAAAGACACAATAACCAGATGTAGATCTTCGATCATCTTTAGAATCGGCCCTATCAGCATCTGCAAAATATTCTATTCTCATGTGATCATGGTTTTGATAAACAATACCTCGTCCTGGTGCACCCTTTAAGTAACATAATATGTGTTCTATTGCAGCCCGATGATCAATGGTTGGAGATGACATGTATTGACTCACTACACTCACAGAATAGGCAACATCTGGACGAGTGACTGCGAGATAATTAAGCTTTCCAACCAGTCTTCTATATCTTTCTGGGTCTTCAAATGGTGTGCCTTCTTGAGTGAGTTGCACGTTGGGAACCATGGGTGTTGTACTTGGTTTTGCCCCTAATTTACGCTGAGATAGAAATATGCCTTTCTTACTTCGTGTTACTTCAATTCCTAGAAAGTATTTCAAAGAGCCAAGATCTTTCGTCCGGAATTGACTATGCAGAAAATTCTTAAGGGCCAAAATACCTGCATTATCACTCCCTGTAATCACAATATCATCAACATACACCACAAGCAATGTGACACCTGATTTTGTTTGTTTGTAAAAGACAGAGTGATCTGATTTGCCTTTTATCATTCCAAATTGTTCAATTGATTGACTGAATTTCCCAAACCATGCACGAGGACTCTGTTTCAGACCATAGAGATTTGCGAAGTCGACAACTTTACCATACTCCCCCTAAGCAACAAATCCCGTAGGTTGCTCAATATAGACTTCTTCCTTAAGGTTACCATGCAAAAATGCATTTTTAATATCCAACTAATGTAAGTGCCGATCATGAGTTGCAGCGAGTGAAATAAGTAACCTGACAGATGTTAATTTAGCAACAGGAGAAAAAGTGTCAAAATAATCAACACCATAGGTTTGAGCATAACCCTTCGCAACTAATCGGGCTTTCAACCGAGCAACAGATCCGTCTGGGTTAACCTTAATAGCAAAGACCCACTTACATCCAATAGATTTCTTCCCTATAGGCAAGTCAACCAAATCTTTTAGGTGGGATAGGAAAAAACTCTTTGTTTGGAAATAGACAATGATAAGGAGCTTTACCATTCAAAACAGAAGATGGCATTCAATTTATCAAAAAACATGCAGGAGACACGACATCTGCCCAAAACTGTTTAGGCACATTCATTTGGAATAGAAAACCCCTTGCAGTTTCTAACAGATGTCGGTTCTTTCGTTCTGCAACTCCATTTTGAGGAGGTGTGTCAACGCATGAAGTTTGATGAATAATGTCATGTTGAAGCATAAATGACTTAAATGTAGCAGATAGATATTCTTGGGCATTGTCTCCTCTTAACACCCGAACAGGAACGTTAAACTGAGTTTTAATTTCAGCACAAAAGGAAGAAAAATGAGTGAACAACTCAGATCGACGTTTCATGAAATACAGCCATGTCATACGAGAATAGTCATCAACAAAGGTAACAAAATATTTAAAACCAGCTTTAGACACAACCGGGCAAGCACCCCAAACATCAGAGTGAACAAGGTCAAATGGAGCATTTGCTCGTTTATTAACTCGCGGGCTTAAGCTAGTACGATGGTGTTTCGCAAATTGACATGACTCACATTGTAAAGAGGTCATCTTATTAAATTGAGGATTTATTTGCTTCATTAATGGGAGAGATGGATGTCCTAATCGGTAATGAACATCTAACAAAGTCCCAACCCCAAGACAAGAGATACCTTTTGTGATGGATGTATCCAAAATATAAAGACCAGCTGACTCATGTCCTTTACCAATAATCTGCTTCGTTAACAGATCCTGAAACACACAATATCCAGGAAAAAATATTACAGAACAATTAAGAGTACGAGTGATTTTACTGATGGAAAGCAGATTAAATGCAAAATTAGGAAGACTCAAAACAGGCGATAATGGTAATGTAGAAGTTGGAACAACAGTACCAGATCCAAGAACGGGTGAGGTAGATCCATCAGCTAAAGTGACACTAGAAGTAGGTAAATATGAATGAAATGACGAGAATAGACTAGGATTACCGGTCATATGATCTGTGGCACCTGAGTCAATGACCCATTTCGAGGATGATGAAACAAGACGTGTGTTTGAAATACCTGAATTCGTGGTTGCCGAGATAGGGACATATGAATGCTTTAGAGATTCTTGGTAGCAAATAAATTTGGCATACTCGTCTGAAGAAATAGCAATTGATTAATCAAATGAACTGGTAGCGGAAGCAACATGAGGAAGCTGATTTCCTTGATTTTTGAACAGCAATTTTCTACATTCTTTGAGCAGGTGCCCGGGCTTCTTGCAGTAATTGCATATTACTCCTCGCTCAAATTGACCCAACATTTTTTTTTATATTGTATTTTTCTTTTTGCAGTAGTAAGTTCAAAATTGAGATTTCAGGCGCGAGAAAGGGCAACATCGAAAAAGCTTTCTCTACCTACAGGTTTTCGAGGATTCATCGAAAAGCACTTCTCGATAAGCAACATCGAAAAAGTTTTCTCGGCCGAAAAGAACTTCTCGAAAAGAAACATTTAAAAACTTACCTTTCCCCGTTTGTGGGCTCAAAATTTGGAGAAGAAAATTTGGAGGAAAAAAAACTTACTCAACTTCATCTTTGGACTTTTAAAATTGATGCGCTGACATATCGGTAGCAGTCCAAGGGGTGTCCACACATATCCGATGCTAGACACCAGCGAGGCAGCGACCAACCCACTTGGGGCGTCCACAGTATCCGATGCCAGACACTAGCGACCAACCACCAAGCTTCCTCCGGCCCACAGATCCCGTCCCTTGTTGGACAAAGAACGAGAGAAGTAAAGTATACCTGGCAGAGAACTTTCAGGCGAGTGTCAGGTGAAGAGTTCCGATCAAATCTTCGGCCAGAGCAGCAGTATCAAGCACCGGCTGTGAGTACTTCCAAAGGCCCGTGTGGCTCACAGGTGTTGATTTGGAACTTCGGATTTTTTTGAACACCTGGACGAGATATTTGATAGAGACGAGATAGGTAATTGGCTAGCACTTGCCTGGAATATGGTCGGACCTGGAGGAGATGGGGTTAATTGACTAATTGGACTGTACTAAGGTTCTGAAAGGTTCTGTCCAGAGGATCTGTCCTGGAGAAATGAGGCCTAGAGGTTCTGGAAAAAACTGAAAACTGAACTTAGGTTCTTGAAGACAAATCAGTCTGAAAACTAAACTGGAATCTGAAAAACTAAACCAAAATAGATGTCTCTGATACCATGTTGAAATAGAGCATATTAACTAAGAAATAATATTGGAGAGGAAAGGATTTTCTGTATATTTCATTGAAGGGTAAGGCCCTATAAATATAGATTACAAAGATAGAATATTCCTATAAAAGATGCTATACAATAATACTATATATGGTATATTCCTAATATATTCTAAAGCATATTCTAAAGTATATTCTAATATACTTTCACAATCCCATTACATTACTCTTTAATCTGAGATGAGCAAAACATATTATGTTATCAGAATCTAGATTATCGGGATCAAGAAAAAATCCTTGTTATTGAAGGAAATAAATATAGTTATATTTAAGACATAATATTGTAATTAGCCGTACATTTGTACCATTACAGATCTCTATCATTTAAGATAGTATAAATAGGAGCTATTGTAAATCAGTAAAGGGTCGGAAATATATTCAAAAAGCCTTTTCTCTCTTGTTCTTTATGGTATCAGAACCATCGAGCTCTAACCAACCCTCCT